CAAACTGATTGTTATGGAGTAATTTATATCCATTAAAAAAACTTAACATTTGATCTAGAATAATTTTTTCAAAAATTTTACTGTTCTTTGTTGTTTTTGTTGTACTATGCCAATTACAACCTTAAAAGCAAGCAAGGCAAGCAATCAAATGACAAAGTTTTAGCGCAATTTAATAAAAGGCATGGCAGCGCATAACATACGAACAAAGAAAAATTATTTTTTATTTATTAGATAAGAAACAAGATGCTTTAGTCATTTCAATTTCTTAGGGTTTTTATGTGTGTGGATTTCAGAAATCAGATTATTTCGCCTTTTGCATTATTTGTGGCTTACAACGTACAACAACGAACCCGGGTTGCTCGTATACTGTGAAATTTACATCGAGCGCTAACCATCTGAGCTACCAGAGCTCTTTATCTTGAATTAATTATTACAATTTTATAGACGAAATATACATTTCAGCAATTGAGCGATTTGCTTGAAAACAAGTAAAATACAAATGAATAAAATATTGATTACATAGGGTTGCAAAATTGTAGTTAGAGTAGTTTCATAATAAAAATGTCATCATCATCAAGATCAATATTTAATAATCATTATTATTATCATTCATTACAGCCTATCAAAGTTTATTGCTGAACATAGGCCTCATAGATTGCCTCATAGGGAGTGACATTTACCATAGTTGCTACAGGCGTCGTGGTAGAACCATACTGTAACTATATTACTGGTATAGTTGTAGCACGAATGGGTTGGCTCTACCGGGGATGGACCATACTCTCATAGAATACCGGCGCAAACGAGCACACAGTCAATCTGATGGTAAGTGGTTGCCTTGGCCCATAGATATCTACATCTATCCTAGATTACGAATCAAAATGCAGATGAGTTGTCACCCCTGAGGACTAAGATGGAATGCCTCATTTCCAGTAAAAAGGGTCTCTGGTAATTTACACTCACCATACGAAACACAGCAGCGTTAGGCTGCTATTTTGCGCCGGTATTCTATGAGATTGTGGTCCATCCCCGGTCGAGGCGACCCATTCGTGCTACATCTATACTACTAACATGGCTGCAGCATGGCTCTACCACGTATAAGATTAATATTTATTTTCTAGCTGTAATTAGAAAAACACTGTTGCATATTACTCCACCACTAAATTATTGAAGCTATTATGTAGGAACCATTTTATTATTTTAGTTCTTTGAAGTCGACTTTTACTTACTAAGTCGACTTTTACTAACTAAAAATTAACTAGTGTGAATGATTGAAGTAAAATTCAAATGTAATGTTATTTCATTTCACAAGAATAAACTTACATGTTATGGTAACCTATTAGGCAGGAGTGCCTCTATTCCATTTCTCAGAATTTTGATTCAGCAAAATGAGATGCTTTAGCCAGCAATTTAGTACGTGGTTGGCGAGTACCCATAGAGAGAGATAATATTTTTGTCTTGCGTCGCATGTATAATATATTTTAACATAATTTACAGAAAACATGTTTGTCATAAAAATGTTTTCTGTAAATTATGTTTAAATATATTATAATTAATAACTTTATATCTTTTATTGTATCTAACATAGTGATTTCAAGCGACTTTTGTTAATTATTTATATATTTAATATTGGGGATATCAAACCGTAAAAAATAAAAAAAGTATTGTTTTTTTAGGTTAGGGTGACAAAGGAGCACACAGTCCACCTGATGGTGAGTGGTTGCTGTGACCCATAGACATCTACGAGTACATCTATCCTCAACAAAGAATCAAAATGCAGATGCGTTGTCGTCATGCGTGAGGACTAAGGTGGAATGCCTCTTTCCAGTAAAAAGGGTCTTCCGTTTTCTACACTCACCATACAAAACACAGCAAAGTTAAGATGCTATTTTATGCTGGTATTCTGTGAGAGCATGGTCCTTCCCCGGTCGAGCCGACCCATTCGTGCTACAATTATACTACTAATATAGTTGCAGCATGGCTCTACCACGTTTAAATTTATTACATGAAATGTATACAAACTTGTTATATGTAAATGGTAATACTTGGGCAATACAGTTAAATAATAGCAATAATTACTTTTACAAACATAGTTGATTACAATATCAAATTATAAATTTATATATTTTAAGTGAAATGAAATGAAATAAAAAATTAAAAAAAATATTATTCGTCCTTATTTGTTAAAATACTGTACTGAAGTAAACAGATACTATACAGAAGAAAAAGGAACCTAAAAATGTATGTTCTAACTTTTTTGAGACGCCGTGCTCTATATGAAACAGGTGAAACAGTAGGATCTGTCCTGTATTGTAGGGGCAATTCACATACATAAATTTCACAAAGATAGAGTTAGCGCTGCAACTCATTGCTAAGTCACTGCGCCACGGAGCAGCACTTTCCGGATGACGACTAAAAATAATAAAAACATGTGCAGTTTACATGATCAATTATCTCGGTCTCCTTTTAGGAAGGTTTCACTATATATATATATATATATATATATATACTAGCTGGCCAGGCAGGATAAAAATACATGTCAGGTAAAATAAAAACTATCATATCTCTCAAGTTGGACCAAACTGCACACAGTGTGCAAATTTCATTGAAATTAGTTCAGTAGTTTAGGAGTTCATCGCGGACAAACAATGTGACACGTAATTTTTAAATATAAAGGTATATATATAAAATACAGTATACAGTGTTATATTAGTACTATTACTAATATAACACTGTATACTGTATTCTATCTCATTCTCTCGCAGGTTAAATCCTATAGATGTATTTGTTTGTCTCTCTTTCGCGTTTAGTGTTTAGTGTCGCTTTTTCGTTTCATCGAGTTTCAAATCACAACGATTCTAAAGAAGTTTCCACATCAAAAAACTGCGATTGCCAACCTGCCTGTCTTGTACTGTCTATGAGGCAATTTATGGGCAAGGGTTTAGCAGTGAATTTTGATAGTCAGCAATGGATGGATGAATGCTGCTGTCCTTTACCTGTAAAATTCCCCCTGTTGCCTTTTACGAAATTTATGGGATGATATGGGATAGTGGGTATTCTTAAACCTTAGTGGCTTTATACACGCAAATTTAGTAAATTATAATGTTAATTTGATTTTTTCTTCTACTTGACCCCTTTTTCGTCTATTGCTGAATCGACCTCATATACAACATGTAACAAAAACCCTGTGACTCCAGCTAAGCGCGTTATCAGAGTCATCATTCAAATGTAAAGAAATAACTTTTTTCAAAAAACTATTTTAATAAAAAAAATGATTTTCAAATTATAGGTGGTTTTATTACCTCTGCATTATCCTATATATATACTATAAGAGGACTGTGAAAGACCCACCCTTACCGATGCTCGTTTCAGTAAAATGTAATAAAACCACATAAAATTTGGAAATTAGTTTCTTATTAATTAAAATTAAATTTTCTAATGTTCTAGTTTTTTGAAAAAAGTTACCTCTTTACGTTTGTATACTGACTCTGACAACGCACCCAACGGGAACCACAGGGTTTTTGTTACACGTTGTATATATATACACTTAATAGACATCATCGTTGCTGTGTGGTGACGGTGTTAGAGAATTCACCACTAAATTTCGTTCCGTGGGTGTCGCAAGAAGCGACTACTAGTTGAGAAAGAGCTGATGCCTTTCGATAGTAGGCGGAACACAATTTCGTACATGGGAACAGCGATAAAGGTGCGACTGCACCGAATACTCAAACATCGTAGTTCCGGATGTTTTCGCCTTTCAAACGTGGCAATTGTGGCGGATTCCTCCCACAATAGGGGATATCGGGCCGTACCGAACCGGATATAGCGGACCGATAAAGAAACAAAAGGAGAAAATTCTGTTCCCAATTACTTAGTCTGAGGAATTTCGGTTCGACATATTTGAAATTATATATGGGAAAGGCCCCAACGTTGGTTTAGCAACTTAGAATATATACGTTATTGTAACCATAAACTAAAGGTATTATAGATTTTTTCTTTATTGCAACCAAGAAAAAAACTAATTTATATACATATTACACTGGCTCGGTATCAAACGTTATTACGTTAAAGTAATGAATAAATTAATAATTCAACGTGCGTAAAAGTGAGCACCGTGAGACTTCTAGGCTATTACTTAATGAAGTACTTCGTAAAGCTTTCGAATACAGCACTAGGGGTGGTTGTGTTATGAAAATGAAATACATTTATTCTTATTTGGCGTCATGTTTAGGAGTTAGTTTGCCATATAAATGCTAATATCAATAAATTAAATTCATGAAATAAATTTGTGATTTTATATTTTTTATTTATAGACTATATTTAGCAAAAATGTATAAAAAGCAAGTCTTTTCTATAGATAGTAATTAAAGGGTTTGCTTGTCATTAAAATATATATATAACGCATAAATAAATATGAACATATTTGTTCATATACGAACCACGGGTCAGAAAAAAGGTTTTGTTTAGTTTTGAGAATTTGTAAGTAAATAATAAAATAATAAAAAAATAGAGTATTGAATTCGAGTATATAATTCGTTCGTCAAAAACCTTGTTAAATTTTTAAACCATGCCGTTCCAAAAGAGCAATTAACTTCCTACATTTTAAAATAAATAATTTAAAATTAAACATTTTGTACAGCGGACTTCGATATAAATTATTAAGAATAACTCAAAAACTATTGGTTAGACCTTGATCAAATTTATATGAAACTACTTAAAAAGCACCAGCTTTCAAATAAAAAAAGAATCATCAAAATCAATTCATCCAGAAAAAAGTTATGAGGTAACAAACATAAAAAAACATACAGTCGAATTGAGTAACTCCTCCTTTTTGAAAGTCGGTAGAAAAAAATATTACTACGCTTTAGAACCCCAGCTTTCAACTCTCATAGAAATAAAAAGAGGCCAGTGTCCAGGAGTATATAGTCCAGGCTGTAACTTTACATTTTTATTTTTATACAAAGATAAAAATATGATCAATTATGAAAATAATTTGTACTTACCAATAACAGGGTTGCTTTTAACGTGATGCATGATCAGCGTGTTCAAGAAGAGAAGAGTGAAGAAAATGTTTCGCTTAAGCGCCATTGTTTCTGATTCTGCAATCAAAACTTATCTGTAGTATGCTGTACGAAATTTAAAATACCGTTATTTTGTAAGTTTATTGCATCATCATAAGGTTGATGATGTCATCGTCATCATATGCTTCTTAGCAAAATTGATGATGATGTTTTTGTCTCACCAATTATTTTACGTGGAAAAGCCGTGCAACAGCTGTATTCAAATTGTAGCATGAATAGATCGGTACGACCGGGAAAGGGCCACATTCTCACAGAATACCACCGTGAAATAGCAGCCTAATGTTGTTGTATTTTATGTGGTGAATGTGAAGAACCGGATACTTTTTTTACTAAATTCATCTTATTTCTCAAGGGGACAACGCATTTGAATTTCCATTCTTAATTGAGAATAGATAGATGTGTATGAGCACAGCGTTGCTTTCAACTTACCATGAGGTGGGCTGTGTGCTCCTTTGTCTCATTTATCCTATAAAAACCATTTTGGAAAATCATATTATTATTATTTGCAAAATCATCATTTTGCAGTAAAACAGAGTAACCGACATAGCCCAACGGATCGGCAAATAGACCGGCCATATAGCTTGTAGAACCAACAACCGATGGGGTAAAAGTTTCTCTAGTGGCAGCCTCGTTATCCGTAGTAAGCGAAGTGTAAAGTGGCCCTCCACTAGATAAGACATGCAGGACGTCAGTGGATGTAAATGGCACAGGACCGTTTGGCATTCCTTGGGGAAGGTCTATGTTGACGAGTAGACCGTAAAAAGGCCTTAATGATTGATTATCCTTTTTATACAGCCCTAAGCAAGCAGTAGCAATAGCATAGTTCAATGAAGTAGTAAAAGCCTCAGTGCAAACGGCACAAACATCACCGAAAAATAACTTTGCATATTATGATATTATTAGTAGTATTCTTCTAATTTCCTTTTTTTTAAATAGTCACACCAAAATACAATGTGCCATTTAAGATTTTTCAAAAAAAGCGCTAGCTGTCATGTTTAACTTGAATTATTTTTCAGTTTGTTTACACAAGTGATGGTGCCCCTTATTTTCAGTCTCAACGCATCTGCATTTTGATCCTTAATTGAGAAGTGGTCACTTGGTCACAACATCTATTTACTATCAGGTAGACTGTACGCTTGTTTGACGTTTGTGTGAATTCACTTCTATATAAAATTACTCCTGCGAACTATGAAATTCAAGGCGAATGCCTAGCCCCTAACTTCCATGGCATAACAACATATTTTAATACTGATGATAATTATATAAATATATATTATGATAATTATAGCTTAAAAATTCAATGGTGGACTTTTATGACAAAAAATTGAAAAAATTTGGACTAAACCGTACATGTACAATACAAATAAAAATTGCATCACAAAAAGTGCAACCAAAAAACTATAAAACATTTAGATAAAGAGAAGAATTTGTATGAAAAATTGTTTGGATGCCCTTAAAAAGAACGTCAAGGACTTAAAAATTGAACACATTAAATATAAAAATTGATAAATAAGATATGAACATATAGAGTATAAATGTAGCAACAAATAAAGGTACAATACTTGTAGAATGTTTAGTCGGGGCTTCGGGCGGATTCGTAAGCTTCAGTTTAAAAAAATATTCATTTTATTAGATTAAATCAACTACAAATTTAATTGGCACTAAGGATTTTTACGAATTAAATAGCCCTTTCTTAATTTAAAAATATATGTGGAAAAATAATCGATAAATCTTTATCAAAAGTAATAATTCTAATCTTTCACAAATTTAAATAAACGAATCATAAATTTTAAACAATAAATTTAATGTCAACGAAATAAATAACAAATAGTATAACACTGTTACTATTTAACAACATACCAAACAAGTCTAAAATAAAAGTTAGTCTTCTACAACAGAGTAATAAACAAGTCAAAACTACTTAAGAGTAAAAGGCTTAACACGAAAGTTATCTTCAACATGTTAAAGAGTTAAAAAGGAAGACACGCTTAGAAAAATGTCTCAATTTATGTGTTATTGTAATAAAAACATTGCCTTGTTAATGAAAACCAATTTCAATAACAATTAAAGGCAACTTTTTTATTATAAATTAAAAATAGAAGTACATTTTTTTAAATTTAATTGAGCTGCAATTCTTTTAAAATTGAAGGAAAAGGTTCTTACATGTTTTTTTAAATATTTATAAAATGTTTACACTTACCACATTAAAAACAATCACGTAGACCGCTTTAAAACGAATTTAAAGCGTGACACAAAAAGAAACTACATCGGCTTGATTCCAAAGAAATTCGCACGTCGATTTGATTTTGTCAACAATAACAGATTCACTTATGGTGTTTAATGTGTGTCGGAAAACGACCGATCGAATATAGAACGTGTTTAAATATAAAACCAGTCGGCTTGTTCATACGTGATTGTAACAAGGAGGGGGGTCGATTGCACAGTACATGCATGCCAGGGATACCCTAGGAATCAGATCCGTGTTTACTTTTCGAAAACCGAAAGTTCTTAGTAGGAAATCAGTAGCTGTACGATGTAGTAATATATACATGATGTCTTACGTAACTTAATGAGGAAAGCTGAATATATTATGTCGGTTTTATTTATAAGAAATAAAATGAGTATTGCTTTTGAAGTTTTGTGTAAAACTTTTTAATTGTATAAAAATTCTTGCTAAAATGTTTGAGAATACGGAAAGACTGATTTTTAAATTAAAGTTTATGTGATAGAAAAACCAATCATAATATTTTAATTTATGATCTAAAATTCTTTTCCAGAAATTTAGTAACTAATAAGAAAATAGACATAAAGTCATTGTTATAGTAGAATAACATGGAATCAGTCAATTATAAATTTCCGAACATGAAAACAATATTTAAGTCCACATTATTCTTTAGTATGTGGATTGACTGGGTAGCCTTCAGAAATAGCCCCAGGTTCCTGAATACTTGTATAGTGATGACACTTTTAGGGTTATTCTATAAAATGTATGGTTTACAAAATACAAAATATTTTTCAGACAGTGGATTAACAAATTCCCTTAAAATATTTTAAGGTTTAATAATAGTTTTTGCTTCTGTAAAATTTTCAGACTTTCGTTTTGATATGGAGTTTGACAAATTATTTAATTAAAGCTCATTACTTAAAAAATAATTAGTCATAAGCTAAAAAATATTTAACTAGAAGTTTCGAGAGTAATCGGTACAGAATAGACCACGTTTATGACAAAGGCGAACTCACTTCCGCAGAGCGGACAAAAAGTCAAATGTAAATAACCTGTAGCTATACAACCTGTATTGCTCTACACATAGCTGATTGTTTCGATAGTTGCTTCACATGTCTTGAATTCTTACTACTTATTCAAAACGGAACAGGTTAGGATACGTAATGGTTGACGCCACGTTGTAATATCTAAGTACTTCAACACACCTGTTTTAACTTTAAGGAAGCCGGATTGCCTGACATCTAATCTATTATTATTTTGATAATTGTTTTGAACACTTCCTAATTTTAAAGAAGCATAATCCTGCCGGAAACCAAGACAAGATATGATCGATTCTTAAGCAGTAATATGTTTCCGCGTATGAAATCATACCAACGAAAATAGGCACCAAACAGAGCGTTAACGATAATTTCCTGAGCTGGGATTGACTTAATTTTATTGCTATAATCGATTCGGGCGAATTGCTTTAATGAAAATGAGCATAATTATGTGTAATATCTGTTCATTTATTTTTACTTTCTGATTTAATAATATAAAAGAAAAATCTCCTTAAATAAGTCGTAGGCGGAATGTTAATTCAATTTCTTGAAGTACACAAAGGTTCAATAAATATTTACTAGTAGACAGTTAAGAAAAACTTATGAAGCGTTAAATAGAACTGGGTTAACCAGCATTAATTTAAAACTTCCTAAGGCCATCCTAACTTAGATCTGTAATAGCCGATCACGTTGTCTATCTAAAATAATGTAGTTAACATTAAGGAACTAAAGAAAACTTGAGAAAAAAAAAGATCTTTTTGTCGATTAACTGAAACTCTTTTATATGTTAACATATTTTTTTTTTATAATTAAAGTAAGTTCGTATTCCTATTTCATGACATAATTTTTTGAACAGTGATAGAGCCACGCGGCAGCTATTGTTGTCGCACGGATGGGCCGGCTCGAACCGGGGTGGTATTACGACCTCACAGAATACCAGCGTGAAGTAGAGGTAAAGATATAGGACCTCTGCGTTTCGCTTGGTAAGTGTAGGAGGCCGGAGGCCCAATCCCCGTCCCACTCCCCCATCAACATGGTAGTGGAATTAAACGGAAGACTACACCAGGAGGGTACCACCACCCCTGGAGAATCCCTCGCTGGGCGTCTACGACTAAGCTACTCCACTCATGAGCGTGAGTGCTCAGGCTGCCCCGTGTATTCTGGAAGGGGGGGGGGGGGAAAGCAAAATTCCGCTAGTGACTAAAACTGCTCAGGGCAAGCGGAGCAATGAGACCAAGGCGACCCCTGTCACGCTATCCGTGAATTTTTGCCACATCAGGGGACTTCATTTCAACCTTTACGCTGTCCACTTCCATTTGGAGACAGCGAAGCCGCCCTTGCTCTTTTTAACCGAGACTCAGGTATCCTTTCAGGCTGATACTACATATCTCTCCTATCCGGGGTACAAATTAGAACACTCCTTTGTGTCCCGGGCTGGAGTTTACGTATACGTCAGAGAGGACATCTGTTTTCGACACTTCGGCAGTCTTGAAAATACGGACCTGTCCATCCTATGGCTGCGCGTAGACAGCGACGACCATCCCCGCGTCTACGGGTGCCTCTATAGGTCCCATAGCGGTAATGTCGAAACAGACCGATTGATCGGTTACGTCCAAATGGCTACAAATTTCTTGCTATAGGAGATCGTGATCCTTGGCGATTTTAACGCCTACCATGCCGAATGGCTCGGTTCACGTTAAACCGATCATGCAGGGTGATCAGTTCATGACTTTACCTTGGCATATG